GGTCTTGAAATGACTTGAACTTGAGCCTGGTTTAAGCATCATTGCCCTCTCACATTCGACGCCAATCAAGCTACAACACCTTTTACAGATGTATTCAGTGTAGCGCACAACGAATTTAAATGCCCGCTAGTGCTAGCAATCATTTGACCGAGGACAAATACATAGAGCTCGTGCAAGCAGAACGTGATTGATTGGCACATTAAGTGCAAATACCTATGATCCCTTGTAGGAGGCCCGATGTATATTCGACACATGTTTGTGGGCATAATGTGAAATATTTGTAACATATCACAAATATGTACGAGCGCGATGTAACAGACTCCTACGACAATCCCTACAAATGCTTGTTGATTGAGATGGCAATACTGGAGACCAGCAATCAAAGACCCGTCCTCTACAAATAAATACAATCATCAAACCCACCTGAGATTGGTGAAAGGTGGATATGATACTGATGTCAATAGGTCTCCTACGAATATTTTCAGGAGGTCGTAGTGGATACAACGATTCCCTGCAAACGAACACTTGTGGATAACAACAGTGGATATATCGTAGGTACAACGAACCACTGTGGGCACAAGTATAGACATCAAACCCACCCGAGATTTGTGAAAGGGTGGATATGATGCAGAAACAATGGGTCTTCTATAAACATTTTTGAGAGATCGTAGTAGATGCAGCGGTCCCCTGCAAATGGATACTTGTGGATAACAACAGTGGGTATATCGTAGGTACAACGAACCACTGTGGGCACAAGTATTGATTTCACCTACGACATTGGTGGTCAAGATCTTCAAGTATTTCGGGTACAAGAGCGACTCGATGTACAAAAAGTACACCCCCTGGCAGAATGGAAGAAATGTTTGAACAAATTAGAACCAAACTTTCTGTTGTTCCAAAGCCTCTTCTTAGTTTTATACTTGAGAAAATAATTTTGGTGCCCACAAACACCGGAAATAGCAAGTCCACTATACCGAAGAGCCTAAAAGGAGTTCTTTCCAAATCAGCAGTCATTGACTCCAAAGTCCAAAAAGTCCCATCCCAAGTGAATGAGAAAGGGGGGAGTCAACATCAAGATGAGGAGATGCCTCATAACATCAAGACCATATCGCCATTGGATTTGCAACACTCATGAAAGCAGACATAAGGCGTCTATAATCTACAACGCAACGCCATCGGATCCGCAACATTCATACAAGCGGACAGAAGGCATTTACAAATATTTCAAAATACCCCTGCATGTGCACTGTAATTTGTATACACATAGGTGCACTAAAGGGGAAAATACAATCCCAACCCGCATGGGCCCCGGCGAGCGTGTTATTGGTACACACGTGACGTCTAGAGATGCTGCGCGGGTTATTAAATCTGAACTCGATCCTTCTAAGCAAGTAGGAGTTGACAAGGTTCGATAAATAATTACAAAATGCCCCCAAACCCGCATTGACCCTGACGAGCGTGTTATAAATACACACGTGACGTCTAGGGATGCTGCGCGGGTTGATAAGTGAATTCAAGTTCTAACCCGATCCTTCTATACAGATCAATAGGAGTCAACACGGTTCGAACCTTCAAACAAATACACGGTTGTGGTGATCGATATATTTGCATTAATACATTCATATTAGGGCTTCAAAGGTTTATAACAATATGAATTTACTAATAATAGCATAAAGCATATGAAGTCAGATCCTCTATTGATAATTCGATAGAGTTGACAAGATTCAATCAACAAAAAAAGAAATGACCCCAAACACCCCGATGATGGCCGTGTTGAATACAGATCTCAATCGGAGGGGTTCACAAATATTTTCAAGTGTCTCCCAGATATCCAAAGTCCATTTCAAATATTCCAAAGCTTCAACAAAAAATCCAACAAATTCCAAAATCCCATGATATTTAAATTAAAATCTATCCATCAATGCTTAAATTAAAATCCATGCACCCTCCTCAACAGTTTGCCGAGGTGGACAAATCTGAAAATTACTTTAGCTCACAAAGAGCTAATGCTTGGTCGTGAATATCACTAGGATCCATTCTCAAACAATCTCCTGCTAGTAAGGACGTGGTACATGTCCTCTAACCGGCGGTATTGCCGCCAAATGGCACCGCAGGATAAACGGTTATCACCTTGGGCCCTTTGAACCGAGTGGTTTTGCCGCCAAATGGCACCACGAAGTACCGGTTATGGCCAGAGTCAATGCACTCCTTATTGGCATCAAATCCTTGAGATATGAATCAGTAGGATATAATCGATAGGGCACAAAGCCCTCTGTTAGCTAAGGTGGATTCAAATTTGTCCCCTCAGACAAACATTCACCCCAGATCCAAGGTACCCTTGGACGAAGCAACCCATGGCTGCCGACAAGGATCCTTCTGTCAGGTTGGGTCGACTACCTCCTCTGACTAAGTAGACCAGGGACCACGATGGCCCGGGACGACAGAACCATGGGATCTTGATTGGGTCAATCATCCATTCCCCCACCATCCGCTTTAAGTGCAAGATGGTGAAATTTTCTATTTTAAATATCAAACCTACAAACTCTTCAATGCCCAAATTCAAACCCAATTTTCCAAATCCTAATCCCAATGCTGCTACTATATGCCAGATAACACGTATTCTCTATGTATCTGATTAACGACTAGCCTTAATCGAAAGTTCACTATCGTTATCGGGAGGGGTAATTAACTATAGGGGCTTGTTCCTATAGGAAACCAGAACTCAGATCATAAAGTCCTCACAAATGAGGGCGAAATCTCTGGGTAGTGTCTTATCTACAAATCCATCTGCCTTCCAAAATTTACCTCGGAACTTAGTTCGTTAAAACTCTCTCGTCGAATAAAAAGAAAAGAGCGGCGGGGAGGTCGGGGCCGAATTTTCGGAGCTCGCAATTGTTCAGCGCATTTATACAATTCCATACAACTTTCTAATTTAAGGCTGAGTCCGAATTTTCAACTTTCCGAATTTTCAACTTTTAAAATTCAAGTTTCTCTCTCATTCAAGGTTGGGTATAAATTCCGAACTTTTAGAATTTCGAGAGTGTAGGTTTACCTCATCAGGCCTTTACTTTTACTTGTGCGAGATTATCCCCCTATATAACTTATTTCACATTTCCAATACCAAGAATTTTTAACAATTATTAATTAGGCTATTGTAGTCACTACTTAATGAATGAATTAATTTATGCATGAATAATTTGAAATTGAAATGATATAATAAACATAACAATGGTGAAGCTGCAAATATACAAAATTTTACTATTTCTATATATTCATTCAAATAAAAAATAAAATAGGCAATATTTTTACAAAAATTACCTCAATCAAGTTTCCTCATTCAATCCAAATTCTTTTTCTTTTCTAAAGTTCTTTTCCTCATTTTCTCCCTTTCTTTTTCTAAATTTAACAACCACAACCCCTATTCATAACATCAACAACAAGTGCAACAAGCAATAGCATACTAAATTTCAACAAGCACCCGATTTCAACTAATTTTCTCCCTCCCTTACTAATTTCAGCTATTATAGCTGATTCCAGCAGCCTATTCAACATCAACTAGTTTAATTTCAATACTTACACACCAAATTCAGCAATTCAGCAGTTCCCAACCATTTCATTTAATAAACACCAGTATGTTCAATGCAGATTTCAGCAAACAACACATAATTCCAACAACAGTAATAAATTCTTCCACTAACTACGACATCTACCTAATCTCTTTACCTTAGTTTGCTGAATTATTTTCTTCTACTATAACCTATAGCAGCAGCACCAGCATTTGATGAAAGGGCTTAATTCAAAAGCTTAATATACTAATTATTTGATGCCCTATCCTCCAATATTAATTTAATTATATATAAACCTAAATCCATTAATGCCATTTAGTTTTTTCTTGCCATAGGATCTATTCAAGCCATTGCATGCTTGGCTAAATGCTTTACTACAACATATGAAATAAACTATATTAAATAGATTTCATAATTGCACAGGTTATTAGCTATTATTGAACTTTTAATTAACAGTTACTTAATATTAAATAACTATTTATTTAAGAGTTATACATATACAAGTAGATTAATATTTCTATATACTTCTATATGTTAAAATGCTCGAAAAAAGTAGAATTTAATGAAAATAAGATAACATTTAGAAGAAGTTTATGCTTACATTTATTTTGAACATTTCGGTATTATATTCGCAGTAAGGGAAGGTGATTAATAAGCTTAAATCTTATATTTTACCTAATTTCCCTCATCCACTATCATGCATGCACTACACCTGTCGAATTAAAGGCCTTTGCTATACTGCAAAAATTTATGAAGGAATAGGAAAATCAAATAAAATTTTAGGAAAATAATTTCAATCAAAACTAGTTCAATAACTTTCACACATTTATAAATTAGCATATGCTTCTATATACTAATTCTCTCTAATTGATGAGTAGAACGCATGGAATGATTTTTTGTGATTTTTGTAAAAGATGGTATTTTGGGGTAGAATTTAATTAAGAAAATTATATTTTTACTTAAATATTTTGAGTATTACAAAAGTTATGTTGGATATTTTTAAAAATAACTTGCTTTATTTAAAAATAAAATAAAATAAAAAGTTAAAAAGTACAAAGCAAACATATTTTTAAAAATAAATACAACAAATGATCCCAAATAGCTACTTTTTTTGTTGGCTAATTTGATGGTTGCACTATATTAATGTGTATTTGCTGAGCTTTCAAAATAATGCTTTCTATTTTATTTATTGCTGTAGCTATTTGTCGTGGTGCCTTTTAGTTTGATTCTATTGTTTTGTAACATTATTTTAAACATATAATAGAAAGTAGGCCTAATTGGCTATTGGCATGATCTTTTATGGTATTTCTAGGAACAAAGGAACCTTCTTATTTTTGTTTTGAAATTTCAATCGACTTTCTTGATAAAATGGTTCTTGTAGCATCTTAATATACTACAAATTTGTGATTAAATATCAACTAATCATTTCTACAGGTTTTCCTGGATTCATCTGGATGATCTGGTGAACCTTATCTATGAAGCTTTAAGGAATCCTTCTTATAAAGGTAGCATGCTAAAATTATGTCAGTTAAAATTAAGGTCATTTTGTCAAAGTCCCTAGAGCACATTTTTCTTTTAAAAAGTGGTAGTACACGAGGAAAACTACCACGACTAAGCTGGGTTTCTTCGGTTGTTATATTAGAAGTTGCATCTAATGTTTGCTCTACTCAAGCTACATGCGTGACCAACTTTCCTCTATTCCCTATCCTTCGCCCTTTCATATGACTTGTGTCATGCAGCCTCATGTTAAGTCATACCCCGTTTAATATATGCTAATAATATTTATCAATTTCTATTGTTAACAGCTTCAAATGCTACTTCCCAAACTCACTTAAAAGAAATAATTTCTTAACTGTCGTTAGTGTATATAGATTTGAACTGTTTTAAGTGTTTTGATTTATGCGACGCATAATTTGCATCCTTTACCCTTTCTATTTTGCAATGTTCAAATCTTACAGCATGGTTGGTTATATTTTCTTTTAATGAATTTCTGTTTGTGTTCTATTGTGTTTGGGATGGCTTAGTTGGGCTTCTTCTTGATGTTGTACGAATGTTTGTGATGAGGATATCAACAATAAATTTTGACGTGTCTATCACAAGAGTCGTAGATCGACGGCTATAATTAGGAGCTTTTTATTTATGATTTATTTCATGTATTTCATTATCTTATTTCATGTTATGTTGAGAGTCTTTTCCATTTTACCCTTATATTGAATTATTTGTGTTGTGTCCCAATGGACGTTCTAGTCTTTTGAGTATTCATTTTTTGAGGCCTATATATTGAGACCCTAGGCTATTGTATGGAGATGATGATTATTATAAATGAAACTTCAATTTTTTTGAGTTCTGTGTTTGTTTGAGTCTTCTTGAGAGAAGAATGAAGTCCCTAGGAGTAGGTCAAAGCAACACCCAACAACTTTCACCGTGGCAAGGTTCTTGGCTTTATCCTATCTCCTCTCTCACCCCTCATCCTTCCAAACAGCCCACCAAGCACTCCAACCCTTACAAGCAGCCAATCGAATATTCCAGCCCTTTCCAAGTAACCATTGAGCCTTCCCACCCTTAAACAGCTGGCTAACTCCTTTCCTTCCCCTCCACACAGCCAACCTAGCATCCCTCCCTCTTTTGAACAGTCGACCAAACTCCTTGGCTAGCTTTCCCCCTTGCCTCTTGGTATTCCCTCCACCTTTTCCCCTCCCCAATCCTCATTAACTCCATTTAATTAAAGCTTTTCCCATTCCCATAGATGCGTCCTTTTTTCCTTCCCAACCCTCATTAACTCCATTTAATTAAAGCCTTTTCTATTCCCATTTGCTATCTTTTCCCTTTCCCAATGCTCGTTAAGTCCACTTAATTTAAGCCTTTCTCATTTTAATTGTTGCTGGCTTTTCCCCTTACCAACCTCCATTAATCTCCTCTATTGTTTTCCACTCTCCTCTCCATTAATTCCTAAAGTCATTGCCTACTCTCACATACTTATTTACCTCCAAGTAGCTGCCCCCCTTTTTCTCTTCCTCCATGGATGGCTGATCCCAATTTGGATTATGGCTATGTCTTTATTGATCAAGGCCTACTGAATGTGCTTCATTATCATTTCTTCAACATCGACTTTGGGAACGACCATACCGTCGAGGAATACGTGGATTGGATTCTCTTCTTCCTTGCAACCGCCATCGACCAGCATCTCTCCGTTCAGTAGCAACTCTCCCACCGTCCACCTATCACCTCTTTCCCGGGTAACTCTTCCTTGAACAATACTTTAAGTGCTTTGCTTCCTAGTGGCATCATTAATATTGTGTCAAGTTTTCTCCCGCTGAAATTCTTAAAGAGTGTGAGTGAGGGAATTTCATTGTGACTATTCTAGTTATTAATTGTGGGAATTCTATTAGTTACAAATAGGCATTTAGCGTCTTTGTTATTATTTTATTATTCTTCTACTCTATTTGTAACTACATACTATTGCTTGATCACCAACTAAGAAAATCCTAAAAGCAGCTCTTGTGAAACGTTAATTTTATAATTGATAAGATTGTCAATCACTTATTAATCCCTAGCAATTCTTGCATCTAATATATGTTTCACATCAGTTTGAGCTAGCTCGAAATTTTATGAGTTGTCATATACATATCGGAATCGAGAGCATATATTTTGATGAATGAATTTTTCTTATAAAAGACATAATATGAACATATAAAATTCAAATATTTCGATTAATTTAACGAGCAAAAATCCCAAGAGTTTATATTTTTGCAGTGAACATTTCTTGTAATACACCTTGAAGGCCTAATACTACAGGAAAATCATAAAAAATGGGTGTATTTTCCAACGGCTCTTGGGCTGCCAGAGTTTTTGGAGTTCTAGCCTGCGGATTGACTGTCGGTATTAATCGGTGATTTACCGTCGAAAATTCTGGCGGTCCAAGAGCCTCCGAAAAATCTGTTGATTCTCAAGTTCGACACACTCCGAAAAATAAATTCTGGCGGTTGTGGTCGTCGGTATAAGCCCTATTTCGCCTAATCCATTCTTTCTTCCTCATTTTCACGGGTCTCGGTTCTAGAGAAAGCCAGGACTCCCTCTCATCGCCTCCTGTCATCCTTCTTCCCCAGTCCACGCCGACCTTGAGCCTCCTCTCCCCAATCACAGATGATCTCCTCTCCTTCCTTGCTCTTTCTTTCCACTTTTGTTTGAAATTTATGCTTTTTGGTTTTCCACATTTGTTTGAAACTTAAATATTTTAGAATGAATTGGGCTATAGTTTTATTTTATTGATATATTATTTTAGTTCCTATAAAGGTCTTGCACCTCAATGATGATTTTGCATATAATAATGAGTTTATCATGCATGTGTTTTCGTAGGTTACTTGAGATGCTAAGATTATTTGACAATAGGTAGGTCCTTTTTCTTCCAAATATCCTGAAAGTGGAGGAGATCTATCATAGATGAGGTCTTGAGGTCTATAGCAAGATAAGCTATTTGATATTTTGGCAAAAAAATTATACAAATTATTGTTACATATAGTTTCATGAATGTATTCCATTACATTTTTAAGATATAATACATAATATGCATAATCGAAAAGAAAAATCTTTTAGAAGTTACACCTGGTAGTATATAATTTTATAATAATATAGCTTCACATGTCTATTTGAATATGATTGAATCAATATTTTTTTTTTTTTTTAGATTGAATCAATATGTAAACATTATTATTTCAATTCAATTGTGTAGTGTAGCTTTATTATAAATATTATTATGTTTTAATTCATATCTATTTAGATATGACATATTATAGCTATCCTGATTATTCTTTGAAGTGATATTGTTGTTGGATTATTAATTATTATGGTATAAATATTGTATTGAACTCTATTTTGTTATACCTATTGGTTTACACCATGTCTGAAGTATGATTTAATCATGCTCAAAATCACATTCGAATAGGATTCTAACCTCTGTTCATCCATGTTCAAACTTCATTAAACATGATTAAGAACCTGATTTGAATATGGTTCAAATATTACTTAAATATGATTTCTGTCTTGTTCGAATAAAAGAGTCTTGTGTAGTTGAATAGCTTTATTATTAAAGTTTATTGTTGATAATGCTTCAACACAAATCATTAAAACTAAGAGGTCTTTGATCAGTTTAGTTCTTTTCACTTAAACAGTTCGCCTACCCATCAATTTTCTCAAAATGATGAGTGCCAATCAATTGTCTCTCTTGATAAGATCTGCTTTTCTTCTAAAATAGGTAATAGCCTGTTGCCTATGCAAGTTTAAGGGCCTGTCTTCATTATAATTGTTATGCATGTAAGTGAAATCTTGGAATCTCTTCACACGTAGGCTAAATAATTAAATAAATTAAAAATAATGACCTGAAAATGAGTTATCAAAGAAAATGAAATCATAAGAACAATAATTGGTTTTATTAATAGCTAAAATAAAAGCTCTATGAATTAGTAAGAGAAAATTAATTGTTTTATAATATATATATATATATATTATTTTAGGATTATTAATTCAACATTCACAAGACTATCTAAGAAGAGAGATTTTAGATGTATAACAAATTGTTAGCAGGATGAAAAAGATTGATAGATGAATTTATTGAGGGTGTGGAGACTTTCATTCAAGTCGCATGTCAACTACCTTCATTTAAGTCTGATGGAATGTTTAGATTTTCATGCTCAAAGCATAAAAATCAAGCTTTTCTTAAGTCTTATGATGTTATATCGTAGGGGATTTGTTCCAAGATATTGATTATGGACCTCACTTGGCTAGTTTGAGCCACATATAGATTCTCATGCCGGTCCATTCACTATTTCTAGAACAATAGATGAAGATCAAATGAATAGATCATATAAAATTTTTGTTTTTGATGCAACAAGTCCAAATTTAAGAGCAAACATGAAAGAGTCACCAAACCAAGAAATAAATATTTTTTGAATTAATACATGCTACTTAAAAATCAATTTGAGATGGTTACACAGCTCATTCAGAATTATTAATTGCTGTTAAGATGCTCAGTATCATAATTGAATATAATATTCCTCTGGAGTACTTCAATAACTGAGATGCAGGTCATGCTGCGATCATATCGAGCTTAAAATTAAAAGAAAAAGAATCAAGATCCTATGCATCACCGGGCAGTGAGGGTACGAAAGATTAAATTTAAGTTAATGTTGAAATTGTTGTTGCACTTTGAAGAATAAGCTTTTATTTGATAACATATTGATGAAAACTTTATGTTTTATATGCTTCAAAAAAATTTTTTTAATGTTTTATTATGTTTCAAAGTTTATTTATTTTGAGTTTTATGTTTTCAACTCTTTTAATATCTGATGATTGTGAATATTGTGTTAGTGCATTTTATTTTGTTTATATTATGTATTTATTATAGGTATCAATTATAGAAATGTTTATGGACGGTAAGGAAGTTGTCAGTTTTTTTTTAAGATAATATAGGTTTACAGTGGCCTACCAGCGGCCTGACCGTTAGAAACTTCGATATCATACGCCAAAAAAGGCCGATAAAATAATAAATAAATCGCCGGAATTTACCGTCGACTTTCCGGTTGTCTGTCTGCCGGCAGAAATCTTCGGCTGCTAATCTGTGAAAGCCTCCACACCGATCGTTGCCACAACCAAATGGAAAACCTATTGAAATAATTTCCAGCGAAAAAAAAAACTGCCATTTTTGGTTTCCTCGTCTTTTAAGAAAAGCGGTCATGGATACTTAATTTTCATGAAATAAATTTCTCCGCCTGCTAAAAAAGTGGTCAAAGATACTTAATTTTCATGCAATGAATTTCCTCTCTTTCTATAAAAAATGATCACGTGTACTTTGTTTTGATGAAATGAATTATAAAATACTAGTGTTGGGTTTATTACCTTAGGTGCACGGAGACTTAGGTGACAACGGGAAACCGCGGTGATGGCGATGCGCACGCACGCACGCACGCACTCTTTTTTAGAAAGAGTGAAAGAGAGGCTTTTGGTGGAGATGTAGGATGTGTAAGAATGCGGGAGAGAGTTATAGAGGGAGAAAGAGAGTGCACACTCTTTTTTAGAAAGAGGAAAGAGAGGCTTTTGGTGGAGATGTAGGATGTGTAAGAATGCGGGAGAGAGTTAGAGAGAAAAAATTCCTCTCCAATTTTAGAGAGAGAAAGAGGAGGAATTTGTTTCTCTCTAGGAGGGGAGATGGAGAAATGGTGTTGAAGGAAGGTGTTTGGGATGAAGAGGGAAGTAGTTGTGAAGGAATTTCTCTTTTTTTAGAGAGAAAATTTTCACTCTCTAGGCTAGAGGGACAAAATAAAGGGTGATGAGGTTTTTTTTGTTAGGGATGTATAGCAAGTGTGGGGGAGTAATTTTTGTGAAGGGAGGTTGGTGATTTGATAGGTGGATGTGAAGAAATTGGAAAACTAAGTTTTAAGGTTAAGGTATGTTTGGAGAAAAATGGTGGAGGATGAAGAAAGATGAAGGACAAGGAGAAGAATAGAAAGAGGGAAGAGAATGGAAGGAAATGAAGGAGGGAGAAAGAAGAAGAAAGAAAATAGAGGAGGAAGAGAAGAAAGAATGAAGGAGGAGCAGGAGGAGATGGAGAAGTTAAAATGCTATTTGACTTCATTAATTTATGAATGCATGTTGGATGCATGAAAGCATCTAAAAAGAATATCAGCTTTCACAGGGATTGTGATCAAATTGGCAATTAGCAATGCCTAGCTTGAATTGGGATCATATCAAGATTACCACGAGTCTAATTTGGCTCGGATCAGTATTATGTCTGGTCTGTGTTGATCTATACTTGATCCGGAATTGGAGCAAGCTCAAGTTTGGATCTTTAACAGTCATAGATATTTCTGGGTCTATGAACCTTCTTAAAATGTATACCATGAGGGAGTTACAATCTGCTTCATACTTAACCAAATTCAGTTGTCTCTGAAAAGAAAAAAAAATATTATACATTCTCAGGTATTGTCAATGGAACTGCACCACATCCTGTTCGGTTATCGGAGATGTGTGATCAATTGGGGCAAGTTATGGGCCGTCCATCGTGGCTTCCTGTTCCTGACTTTGTGCTCAAAGCAGTACTTGGTGAAGGCGCCACAATAGTATGTAATATGCATAATCCATTTTTATGTTTTATATCTACGTGAATCTAAACTTGCCTCTGTTTCAGGTTTTGGAAGGTCAGAAGGTGCTACCAGTTAAAGCAAAAAAACTTGGTTTCACATTTAAGTACCCATTTGTCAAAGATGCTCTCAGGGATATCATTTCATCCGGAAGCACTTAGGTTATTGCAGTGACTTTTGTTTCATGCAGCATCTGTAGAGTTCAAACGTTGGAGACCACAAACCTTAGGCAATTCGGGAATTTGTTTTTCTTCAGAAATAACGCAATAAATAAATAGATTTGCATTTAAATTAGAATGATATTTTATCAAAAAAATATGAATAATATTTTATTCAAAATAAAATATTTAACCCTAAATTAAGTTACCAAATTGTTTAAATAACAGATTTCAATCAAAACAAGTTTGGTTATTTTCCCATTCAAGTGTATATTTTCTTGTGTAAGATATTATTTATGGGGGATCAGTGTCAAGAGAACAGTTTTCTTTTAGTTAATCATGCATTATCTTTTTTTAGATACGAAGTAGTAGATAAAAGTTTGAAGGATAATATTATAAAAATTAATAGGATTGGAGATAGAATTATATTTTAAATATTGTTGTTGATGATATGATTGTTAATATTATAAGTGCTTATGCTCCTCAAGTAGGTTTGAATATGAGTTGTAAATTAAATTTTTAAAATGACTTATAAGAATTATTACAAAAAATACCTCTAGAAGAAAAAGTTTTTATTGGTGGAGTTTTAAATGGACATGTTGGTAAATAGGTAGATGATTTTAAAAGCATTCATGGTGGCTATGATTTTGAAACAACAAATGAAGGTGGCAAGATCATATTAGATTTTTGTTTAGTTTATGATTTTTCAATTGCTAATACCTTATTTAAGAAAAAAAATGAGCATCTCATCACTTATAAAAATGAATATAGTACAACTTAGATTCACTATTTTCTTATAAGAAATTTTGATTGTTTAGATTGTAAAGTTATTCTGAGTGAAATTTTATGTACCCAACATTGATTATTAGTTTTGAACTTTAAGATAAAGGGACAGATAATAAAATATAAAGTAAAACGATATTCTAGGATTAGATGGGGGCATTTAAAGAATATTAACAAAAATATTTTTGAGAGTAAGATTTTAGATCTTAAGATTTTATCTGTGTATGACGATGCTAATGTTATGTGGGAAAAAGTGGTTAGTGATATTAAGAATATTGTAAAAGATATGCTTGAAGTATCAAAGGGAAAAGTTCCTAATAGTAAAAATAGTTGGTGGTGGAATCCAAATCTGCAAGAAAATATTAAGAATAAGAAGATTTATTATAAAAATTTGTTTAATTTTAAAAATTTTGATAATTGAGAAAGATATAAAGGGGCTCGTAAGGAATCTAAGAAAGTAATATGTGATGCAAAGACCTTATCTTTTAATGATTTATATAATATGTTAGATACTGAGGAAGGAGAAAGATATATGCATAAATTAGCCAAACAAAGAGATATGAGTAGTAAGGATTTAGTTCAAGTGAAGTGTATTAAGAATGAAGATCAAAAAATATTTTTATTAGAAGATGATATTTAACTAAGGTGGATGAGATATTTTGTTAAACTTTTTAATGAAAATTGTGAAAATGAGATTGACTATAGTGACCTTAGCACCCTAAATGAAAATAAGGATTACTGTTTTTGTCGTCATATTAGTAAAACTGAAGTTAGAGAGGCTTTAAAGAAAATGAAGGGTGGAAAAGCAGTTGGACCTGATGATATTCCATTAGAGGTGTGGAAATGCTTAGGAGATGAAGGAATTTCTTGGCTTACTAAACTTTTTAATACTATTTTAAATACTAAATGGATGCCAGATGAGTGGAGAATGAGTATGTTAATTCCTATTTTTAAGAATAAAGCTGATGCACAAGATTGTGCGAATTATAGAGGAATTAAGTTAATGTGTCATACTTTAAAACTATGGGAGCGAGTTATGGAGCATAGGTTGCGGCGTGATACTAATGTTTCTCAAAATCAATTTGGATTCATGCCGGGTAGGTCGACTATGGATGCCTTACATTTATTAAGAGGTTTGATGGAGAAATATAGAAAAAATAAGAATGATCTACAGATGATATTTATTGATTTAGAAAAAAGCTTATGATAAAGTTCCAAGAGAAGTGCTATGGAGAGTTCTTGAAAAGAAAGGAGTTAATAATGCTTATATTCAAATCATTAAAGATTTGTATGCACGAGCTATTACTTGTGTTCAAACACAAGGTGGTTTGACCAAGTATTTCCCTATTTCGGTTGGGTTACATCAAGGATCAGCCTTAAGCCTCTATCTTTTTTCTTTAGTCATGGATGTTCTCACTAGACATTTGCAAGAGGATGTACCCTGGTGTATGCTTTTTGCTGATGATATTCTTCTTGTTGATAAGACTAGAGAGGGAGTTGAAGATAAACTTGAATTATGGAGGTCAACCTTAGAGTCTAAAGGTTTTCGCTTGAGTAGATCTAAAACGGAATATATGGCATGTAATTTTAGTAGTAATAGACCTAGTGATGGGATTGTGACTTTGGGCGATCAAGTCATTAATAAGAGTACACGTTTTAGATATTTTGGATCTATTTTTTAGAGTGATAGTGAAATAGATGGGGATATTATCAGCAGAATTCAAGTTGGATGGTTGAAGTGGAGGAATACATCGGGCTTGTTATGTGATAGAAATGTACCCCTCAAACTTAAGGGAAAATTCTATAAGATGGTAGTGAGGCCTGCAATGCTTTATGGTGCCGAATGTTGGCCATTAAAAGAGAAGCATAATAATAAGTTAAGTGTGGCAGAGATGAGGATGCTCAGGTGGATGAGTGGCTTTACCCTTAGAGATAGGATACAAAATGAGCATATACGTGAAAAGGTTGGAGTAGCTCCAATAGAAGATAAGATTAGAGAGAGTCGCCTTAGATGGTTTGGTCACATAAAACGGCGGCCTTCCGATGACCCGGTTAGGAGAGTAGAGGTATTAGATTTGACTTGTGTTAAGAAAGGTAGTATATATATATAATCTTTTTTCTCAAAGCAAAATTGAATATAGAAATCCACTTATATAACCTTTGAATAGTACCAAGAATATCCTGTGTTAATAAGAGCTATAACATAAGATTCCATCTGTACTGGCTTATATAATCTCATGTAAATTATAATACTTATACATATTTTTTCTAAGTTTTTAAATCTTAAATAATACTTGGACAAAATTATCTTCTTTTTAATCTCTCAATTTAAATTATATATATGAAAATTTAACTATATATACCTTATAATAAATATCATAACAGAAATACGCTTGATATTTTATTTTTTGAGGAAATATGTTAGAAAGTTCATTTCAGCTTAAAATATTTTACTTTTTTTGATATCTCATTATATAGGGAGAAAAATATTCTACACTGCCATTTTGACATTCTTTTTGTTATTGTCAAACTTCCATTTGAGATTTTTTTCGCTCACAAGAGATGATACTGTTGATATTTTTTCATTCATCGATGACTTTAATATATATTGGTGCTATTTGTTTTAAAATGTTATATTATGTAATATAAATTTGATCATTTTGATGGAGCTTTAATGCAAAGTGATAGAATATTAAAGAGTTTTTTTTTTTTTTATCTTGTTAGAACATAAGTAAATTATATTTGAATCATGATATAACATTGAATATGTTCAACCACATGCTTGAATTTTATTCAAATCATGGTGTTAGATCATTGTTTGAATATAATTCAAATCAAATATAAATATGACTAGAACATAATTTGAACATGGATCTAACCATGTTCAAATATAGTTCAAACCCTATTCGATCACAAGTTTTGATAATGAATATCATCATTAAGTTCAAAACTAATAGTTATTATGATAAATCTTACTTGATTTCAAAGGAATACAGAAGAATTGAGTTTTATGGATATTAAGACAAATTATGTTTCACTAACCATCCTTAACTGCTTATCTAAAGAATGAATAATGGGCATAAGATTTCTTTTTTGAAAATTGATACAACTTGATGGTAATTAGTATTTAGAAAGCTTCAACAATTTTACCTACAGTGTATGCTCATATTTAGTTAGTATATTATTTAGATTTGTTTAGACATAATGCAGATATAATTTTTCAATTGACACACCATTGTAGTAAACATAAAAATATTTTTGATGAAGGATGAAAGAAGCACCGGAAAAGCACCTGAATAAACTTAAAAGTATGATTGCACATTGATAAGAGAAAGTTATACATTTCATATTACATCTATTATGATTGTTATTTCTCTTAATTCTTATATTTTAATACATGAAAATAAGTTAAAATTATCAAAATTAAACTAGCACTGCAATGGTAAAGTTTTGAATGAGTGTTGGAGAGCTTAGCATCGAGGCTCTACGCAGGGAGCGTTGTAGTGCCAAATCGCCTGAGCACCTCGGCAAAAGATTGTTAGAGATGGTTGAATCAACAAATAGATGCGATGAGTGGTGACTGACATGATGATTAAGAAGCACTGCAGTGCCACTAAGCTAGCATTGTGGTGCTAGTTCATTTATTTTGGATTTATAACAATAGGAAGCCTAGTGTTCATATGATAGGTTTGGAATCTTGGAGAGACATGAGTGATTGTGTGAGTGAGTGTGTGAGGCTTCATTTGGTGTAGGTTAACCCTTTTGTATATGTTGTGTGAGTCTTATACTAGTATGGAGAGAGGAAGGAGTACAAAGGAATTTGAACTAATTAACAAAGGATTTATAGGTCAATTTTATCCTCATCTTATGTCTTGTACTTTTATTTTTTTCAATGAAATAAAAATGTTTATTGTATTTTCTTTTATCTTCATATTATAATTTAAAAATCATGTATTGCATAGAGTAGACTAATAAATTTATAAATCGCTTAACTTTGTTTTTAAATCCTCCATGCCATATTTAGTTTGTGTATAAGCTATACATAAACTAAAAATCTAGTGTGATCTATAGCCTCAATAGAAGAATAGAAGAACAAATAGAGGAATTAAAATGTAATCTTCTAATGCATAGATATATGGTGGTTAGGGTTATGGTATCTTAAGGAGATAATAAAATTATAGTTGGGAGGAATCTTTGCTAATACTCCAATGAGCTTAGCAGATACAAGAAGTACTTATACTTTGATTCACGGTAACATTAATCTAACTTTTTCATGCGTGTATTTTTGAATATTATAGGTTCAAAGTTTTAAAAAGTTTTGCATTTATCTTTTGCAACTATTTCTTTTACTTTCAATTGCCTCACTATATTATATGACATGATATGTATACTTGCATAGAATAGGAATTACACCTTAGCATAGAAAATCATAGTTAAAAGACCAAGCAAGTAGTGTGTAAAAGTAGAGTCATACCAAGTTTTCAACATCATTGCTAGGGAATTAAAGTTAATTATCCTTTCTTT